AGCGGAAACCTTCTCGATTCTCACATTGCAATTGAAGCCAGGCTGAAGAATTGTCTCACACCTGCAACAACAAACCTATTGATCATCATCACATAATCCCAATTTCGATAAAACCTTTACATTAAACAGTCAAAGATCAAGCAATGAAGACACTTAAGATTACAAGTGACACCAGAAACTGCAATATAATCCAATTGATTTAACTCTTGACATGATTAAACATGAAAATCTTCTCTCAAATAAGCAATTGAAGCACAATAATACTCTAAATTCGCAGCAAAAACGAAAAGGATTCAAAATCTCGTTCCAAAACTGATAGTGAGGAACCCTAATTAGCTAGTACAGCTCAGAGGAAGAGAGGCAAATACCTTTGACAAGAGACGAGATTAGGATCGGGAGCAATCCCAGAAGCTTCACCGTCGGCAGCGAGACGACGACCGAACAAGGAAGCAATCGGAGAATCTACGTTAGAAGACCAGATTGCGAGATTCTTCAAGTGCTCATGTCTTAGTACAGACTTGAGATTAGGTCCTCCTTGAGCGCTTGTAGGCTTCTTAGCTCCGCGTTTCCCCATCTTAGTGGCTGCAAACTCAGGGAAACAACTACCCCGTCTAAGAAACCTTTTGACCGGAGAGATTCGAATTCTCCCGGAGATAGAAACAAAATCGTGGCGTGGCGTGGCGGTGCGGCGGCGGAGAGAATCAAGAGCTTTGAGATTTTTCAGTGTTATGAAGAATGTAAAAAAAACAAAACAAAAAAAGACGAGATAGGATTTTATTATGTAATATGAATATTATAATATTTATCAATTGGGTCCATAGCTCAGTGGTAGAGCATTCGACTGCAGATCGAGAGGTCACCGGTTCGAACCCGGTTGGGCCCTTTTTTCAATAACTAACTTCTTTTTTTTTTGGTAAATGTTCCTTCTTGAATATTCACGTGTTTCTAATCCAAAAAAGGACATAAACTTCTAGTCTCTATACAAACATTTGAAACACATTAAAGCAAATCCACAAGCATACATAATTCAAGTTTTTGTAATCAAATCTACATCACACTTTTTTTCTTCTGTATAAATAGGAAAATGTCTATACCATTGAATCAAAAACAAAAATAACAAAACAGAGTCCAGTAGCTGTGATTGAAGACCCGTAGTAGCTTGCACCGAGGTTCTTCTCACAATCCGCAAACTAAAAGAACCCAAAATTATGCAACATGGACACTATGAGATGAGAGTGAAATAAAAACCAGACTAACCAGTGATTTGATGATGACCAAGGCTTTCCCAAGGAACAATTATTGTAGACTTGTACTGTTTCATCTTAAATCTGCAGAGGCATACGATTCATACAATGGTGGTTCTTCGGTGAAAGAGCGGGAAGGTTAGCATAGGAAGGATTATGTTTCTCTCCTACTCTGGTTTCTCCTCCTCTATTTCGTGTTAGTTATGATCTCAAAGTATTTCTTTTGCTTTCAAGCATCGCACCGTCTTTTAGAGCAGCGTGTGCTTCGTTCTCTTGTCCTAGAGCTGACAAAGCTACAGCTTGGAGATAAGATGCGATATGCCAAGCAGGAGATATGACTTGGGCTTGCATTGCATCGCTAAGTGCCTCTTGAGGCTTCTCATTCATTAGATAACACAGACTCCGTCTAGCATAAACGGTTGGGGAGACCATTGTTCCTACCTCGATGAACTGCAAACATATCCTTTGGTCAGAAGCATGATAGCGTTTTCAAAAATCTAATTTCTGAGAGAGAAAAATAAGTAAAATGCAGAAAGACCTGAAAGGATTTTCTGTGTTTCTTTTTGAAGTATATATATAAACCAAGCATAAGGTGAATATGAGAGGGTAATGAAAAAACTTGATCACTACCCTTTATGCGGAAACCATCAGCAGTGAGCTATTATTATGGTCGGGGACTTAAACTAACTACAGCATAAAAGGTTTAACCTGAGAAAAGCATTCGATGGCCTTTGCAAAGTCTTTATGTCGGAACGCAGCATCTCCCTTTTTTTTGAATATCAGTGTGTCCTGCATCTGGTCGGTCCACATCTGGAAAGAAAGCTGAAATGTTGCAGAAACAAATAAACAAGCGAAAATTTATTAGGAACAGGATATAGCCAAGGTCAAAGATACCAACAGAAGCCCTATTCCGAAGAAATTGCAATAATCAAACAATAATAAGATCATGATAGAACGCAAGATTGGAATCAAGAAAGGAACCTCTGTGGTTGCACCCTCGTCATCCTTATATCCAAGCTTTTCGATGATTTCATGTATGGCAGTTAGATCTGATCTAAGGCATGCTTCTCCAAGTGGTGAAAGAGTGGTCGTTGTGGCACTATTGGGTATGCCCATCAGTTCGTGAGAAGGAATCTACATGATTAATATGTTCTTGTCAGTGTCAGATTTAATCTTTTGAAATGCAAGAAGCATCAAGCTTATCTTTCTAGTTGTGCAACTGTTTTCCGATACAAAAGTAGCAGCAAAAGGTAACAGAAAGATACAAGCCTCTGCGATTCAGTATTACACAAAACGGAACTATTTAATGATAGTGGGAAAGAACCTCAAGATCCTTCTGAAGAGGAGTCATTGCTGAGACTAGAGATTTTGGGTTAGGCCGCTCTCGGGCCTCATACTGCAAGCATCTTGAAGCTAACCGTATGAGTTCAGTCCCATCGTCACTTGAAAACTGACCCTCAAGGCATGAATCCATTAACATCTGAATGTTCCTATCCCGTATGAGGTCCAATGCCTAAAATATGCCATACAAGGAACTGGATTAGCAAGATACTATAGTTTTAAAGCATATTAGATTATAACATTCAATATGCTACTCAAAATGAGTTCAGGGAGAATGCTTCCAAATCAGGTTATAACAGACACTAGAAGCCTTACATGGCTTGGAGGAATGTGCTTTCCACTGAGAAGGTCAAGCAACAGAGTTCCAAAGCTGTACATCACACTTTCTGGTGTCACGCGACCTGTAGAAATAAACACACAGCCCGATACTTAAACAGAAAAGTGTCCAGAATACAAATAAAGCATTCATGTTATCCTGAAACCGTAGCAGTCAGCTGGAAAATTATAGACTAAAGATTTTGAGAATCGCAGGAAACAATATAGGAATTAATAGACTCGATGAGGTAATTACACACAGTTGTAATACCTGTTCTCAGATACTCGGGAGGAGTGAATGCCAGGTTGGTACTGTAACTTTTTCCATCTCTACTGTTTTTCATCAAACCAAAGCACGAAAGTCTTGGATTCGCGTCCTAAAAAAACAAAAACACAAATTATTTACATATGCATTTGACAGTAACCAAAGGTAGAAAAAAACTATGTCTCAAATTTACATCATCAAAAAGAACTCTATAAGCATTTAGATCATGGTAGAGGGCACGTCCTCTGCTGGTACAATACTCTAGCGCCTGAGCAATATGTAAAGCTACTCTCAGTCGCATCGCCCACTTCATTGGTTGCGACTCCCCTAGAACACAAAAATAATAAAATCTTTTGTCAGGCATATATTCAAACATTTTTAATCTTATATATGTGTATATATGAAGTTACAGTAAGCTAGGAAGAACTTACAATGGAAAAGATGTTTTGCCAAAGTTTCATTAGGCATAAACTCTGCAATAAGTAGTCTCTCTTCACCTTCAAAGCAACATCCAAGTAGATTCGCCATCCTATGATTCCGTAATTGACCAACAGCTTTGGCTTCTTCCTAATCTCACAAGATTAAAGCCAAAGAGATTAAGAGTTTCTTCTTCTTGTAAGGTATACAGAAAACACACAAAGGATTATCAAGTGCAACAAAACCGATGAATATAAGAGTAGATTGACTGCAACAACAAAAGCAATACTAGTTTCTATACATCACCATACCAAAAACTGACGAGTATCAGGCCAAGCTTTCCTGTTAAATCGTTTAACAGCGATTCGTCTTTGATTCTCCAATTTTCCTCTATACACAACATTTGGAGCTCTCTCTCCATGTTCTGAAACTATATTCTCTACTGCAAATCCTGAAGTAGCATTCCTTATAGTATCGATAGAGAATTCACGAAATTGAGGCAAATCATTCGATTCACCTCTCTTTTCCTCATCTGGATAAACCCAACAACAACAACAAGATAAGAATTTCAATCACCAATACAAACAAAAAAAAACACTAAATTGTATCAATTGGTTACTTTAGCTAAACCTGTAACATCATGATTCGATTTTCCAGACTCTGAAACGCAGCAAAGTGCAGATAACTTGGAGACCT